GCCTCGATCAGATGATGAAGACACGTGAGTGAGACGCACTGAGACAGAGACGAGACGTCTGAGAATCACTGAGACTGACCCTGCTTCCCTTCTTCTTCAGGAACTTTGAGGAGTCCGAGGACGAGCTGCGGGACGAGGTGAGCGACTCCATGAGGAACCTCCTCACCACACAGGAGCAGGAGCAGGAGCAGGAGCTGGAGCTGGAGGAGCAGACGGCACAGGAAACACAGCAGGAAGTGAACCGCAGATCAGAGGAAGTGAGGGAGGAAACGCAGCCACCCGCTCATGATGAGTCTGGGAAAAACACTGCAGTGAACTGATCCTGCGTTTTTCTTTCTTTCATTCTATGTGAATATCTGTTAAACTGTAATTTATTTCTGTGATGCGCAGCTGTATTTTCAGCATCATGACTCCAGTCTTCAGTGTCACATGATCTTCAGAAATCATTCTAATATGCTGATTTGCTGCTCAAGAAACATTTCTGATTATTATCAATGTTGAAGACAGTTGTGCTGCACAATATTTTTGTGGAAAATGTGATACATTTTATTTTTCAGGATTCACAGATGAACAGAAAGTTCAGAAGAACAGCATTTATTTGAAATAGAAATCTTTTGTTACATTTACTGTCACTTTTCATCAATTTAATGCAAACTTGATTAATAAAAGTATTCATTTCTTTCCACAAACGTTTGTCAAGCGTAAAATTCAGCTTTGCATCAAGGAAGAAATTACAATAGAACTTTTTTTGTGTTATATTTTACAGCTTTTCCTGTGTTTTTGATCAAATAAATGGAGTCTTCATCAGCAGAAGAGTTTTAGCTTCATTTGTGTTAAATGTGCTCTGCAAATAGAGTTTGATGGCTTTCTTTTTGTAGTGTTTCTAGTGTTCTGCCGGATGTTCTAACAGTTTCTCATTTAAACTCCAGACGTTACTGAATGGGTTCGAGTCATTTCTTTGGAATTTATGTATTCAAGACTTTTATTTAGAGAACATGTTCATTCACGCATAAATGTTTGCTGAACATCTCCACGTGTCATTTTGACTGTTAAATGAAAATGATTAAATATGATTCTTGTTCATTTTAGTGAAAAACAGTGTGAAGACATGCTTTGATTCTTTGAAGTAGATTTTACTTTTTACAAGAAACATTTTGAATCGGACTACAATGACTGATCAAATATTTTTCAAATAATTTCAGAAACAGATGTTCTTTTCCTTTTATTTTTCTGTAAAGTTGTGGAAGATTATTGTATTGTACAAAGCACTGAATAAATTGACTTTTATTTGACTATCAAAAGAATGAAAAATCTAATAGGAAATGTTTATGAATCGTATACAGCAGTATAACGCATTTCATGTGAGCAGGACAGTATTTGGGCTTGAGAGGAAGTTCAAAACAGTCAGAATGAAGAAGTATTTTACATGATTTGTCCATTTTCCTCTGAAGGTGTTTTAAAGAAGTGTAAACGCTGCAGTTCTGCAGGAGAATAAAGTGGCTCTTGTCTGATCAGACTGCGTCTGGTTGTTGTTGGTTTGTTTCCTGAATCTGTGGAGACACGCAGGAGAACAGCAGCAGAACATGACCGGGACGGACGGAAGCCCAAACACGCCGTGAGCGGGACGAATGAGCTTGAGACCCGCGCCGAACATGGGACCCCTGCAAGCGTCACACACACCAGCACTGAAACACACATATCACACAGTGTGTTAAATACTTCACTATATCAACCCTCTTCCAGCAGCTCAGACAACAACAGTCACACTTCTGCTAACAGTGCATAGATACATAGAGAGAGTTTTGAATCCTTAAAACATGTCATTATGTAGCTGAAGTTTCTTATGATCAACATTGGCTGCATTCACACTGAAGTTCAGTACAGTGTCAGACCTCTTCTTTATATATATATATATATTATCTCATTTATTTTTAATTTTCAACATGACCTATAGACCAGGGGGGAAAAAAGAGCAAGGTTATAATTTTGGAATTTTCAGCACATAAAAAACGGAACATAAAAAAGCGCTGTCACGTGTTCAAACATGAACAGAAGAAACTCCACAGGGTTTCACACAGAGAGAGTCTTAAGGCCGTCTGAAATCACCTTTTACACCGGGCTTGAAAAACAAACGTCTTCCGATTGAATGACAAGATGCATTTCATATAGAAACAGCTGAAGCAAAGCCTTGAATTATGATCTTGTTTGTAAGAACATTAACGAGGTTCAGAGTTATTCAGTCATTTATGTGTTAAACACATCTACACTGTATCAGTGTGAACTGAACCCAGCTGAACAGCTGTGTGTGAGTGTGTGTGTGTGTGTGTGTGTGTGAGAGAGTGTGCGTGTTACCTGTTCAGGATGACCCGTGTGGCGGGCAGCAGGTGTGTGTAGCGCTGCTGTGTGTGTGTGTGTGCGAGTGTGTGTGCAGCCGTGTGCAGCAGCGTCTGAGGAGAGTTGCAGCTGTTCTCGCTCCACAGTAACACATGTGTGTAATTCCCAGACATCCTGAGCTCCGACACAGACACACGGAGCAGACCGGCGGGAAGAGCCACTAACTGATTCCCTTCAACGTTCAGAGACCTCAGAGACCTGAAGGAACACACACACAAACACACACCACACAGAATATACCATTGGAATATACCAATATCATTGGAATCACTTTCAGAGAAATTTTTCCAGCTGATAAACTATAAAAACTTCGACAGCCAATCAGAATCCACCCTGCTTTAAAGAGCTCAAGCATTCAATGTGGCAGATGACAAAACTTGCATTAATAACAGATTGTTACCTGTTTAGTTATTATGTTTATCATTATAGTTACTTGGAGTTATCATTATAGTTAATGCTATAGTTGTTGTTAAATTTATCATTATAGATATCGGTAGATATCATTACAGTTATCGCTATAGTTATTGTTTTATTTATCATTATAGTTATCGGTAGATATCGTTACAGTTATCACTATATTTATTATTTTATTTATCATTATAGTTATCGGTAGATATCGTTACAGTTATCACTATATTTATTATTTTATTTATCATTATAGTTATC